TAGAATAAATGCAAAACTTTTCCAAAAATCATGCAAGTAACACCCAACAATTGAAATCTAGTCCAAGGTTAGTACTTGAGCTTTTAGAGCAACTCTTCAAATCTGCTATATTTAGACCCCAAACTCCTCTCTCGAACCAAGAGAAGTGTTTGACAGCATATCAGCTCATCTGGAGCACAGGCAAAGAAAAGGGAAGAGGTAAAGAGGTTATTATAACTGGCTTCCCCAGCCAGCTGCTGACAGATATGCCAACTCTTGCACTAACTGCAGGCTAAAATGAAGGGGCTCAGCATTTTTAAGGTGACCTCTCTCCTCTCTCAGCATCAGCCTCTGTGAATTAGGAGGAGGTGCACTGGTCCACAAACACATCCCTTTTTTCATGGAATTTATAATCTAAACAACATTTCTTAGATCAAATGGTTAATACAAAGTATCTTCCTTCCTGAAAATGGGGAGAAGCTTTAGTCACTTGGCACATTTCTTTTATACAACGCTTAACAGTCAAACATTTTAGAACCTTTTTGTCATTAATAATCAGGGGCAGGGAGCTACTAACACTGATGTCACCCAGTTTATCTCATCATGGCTATGCCCTCAACACTGAACTGCAGGTTCACAGTTCTCTTCCAAAAGGCATTTCCAAACTGTACCAGTAACTTACCCTTTCATTACGCTCCCATCCATGCAAGAAGCTAGACCTGAATGCCAGCATCCAGGAGTGTTCCCAGGGGGAGGCACACAGAACCAGCAGGCAGGGGATTGATACCAGAAATGCTCAGGTCCCCTTCTCTATCTGATCAGGACAAGTATTCAGGAGCCTGTGAAGGCTTTGACTGATGAGGCATGTTCTAAGAGCAGTCAATTCCTGGTTGTCTCTGTGCCAGTACCAGCTCATTTCTAGAGCTGCTCCACTCACAATGGATTAGTATTAAAGGACAGGTCTGAAAGCCTCCCCACCTCATTAATATTCATTTTATATTTCAAATTCCCTTTACACAAGGACTCATCCCCAAGGCTAGAAGCCTCATAAATTATATTCCATTTTAAACCTGCAGTATTCGCTCTCATTGTTTCAAAAGGAAAACACTAGTGGAGACAGCTTTAGGCAGTTTGCTTTTGTTTAAAAGAATACTATCTAAAGCCCTGCTTTAACTTCATTAGCCCACAAAGATCTGCACTGCAACGAATCCTGCCTGCAAAGCACAAACACAACTGTCAGCAAATTTTCCTTCTTTCATTACTCTGCTTTTGTTCCAGCTGCCAGAGTGAGTGGTGTAACATCTGCTGCTGAATTAACTCACAAAAGGCAACTTACCTAGTGAAAAACTCAAAATAGCTCCAACCACCATAGAAAAAACCAAATTAAGAGATAAAGTGACCCAGTATCTACTTTGTCTCCTGCTAAACATGGGCAGATGATTTTGCATTCAGAGCTATCACATTACACAGCAAACCTGGCTTTGATGGTCATAAAAAAGGTCCAAGGGAGAACAGATTGAACCTTTCTCTATAAGGATGGGGGCCAGTTTTTGGGTAGCAGTCTTTTCCTTCTGTGCAACACTGAGCCTTGTTACCCAGGCCAACCCCACAGGCAGTGCCTGCACCCTCCTACCTTCCACTACTGAAGGAATGCACAGCAAAAGCAGAAAGAAAGATTTTTCTCATTTTACCTTTGTAAAGCATTTGCTGTGACACAGATTTCACATTCAACAGCCTGTTAGTTTAAAATACAGAGAGGTAACTGGAACCAGAAGCATTTGACATCATTCCTCCACTCGCCCTCCACAAAGCCTACAGTGGTGAAAAGATCAGAACAAGCACATTTCTAAGGCTATCACTAACAAACACATGTCTAAGGCTGTCACATACACTATTCTGTGCTTTTTACAAAGAATTAATCCATATCCTCTTGCCCACTCTGAGGTAGCCACACAGCAGAACTGGTAATTACAGCCTCTCATTTAATGCTCCATTAACTAGAGGAGACATAATTTCTGTGAGTAAGCCCCATAAAGAACACATGCAACACCAAATTTATGTGTCTAATGAATATATATGTGGAAATCATAAATACAGAATCCTCTCTATATTTGAGTTTGAAATTCAGAGGTAAATATTTTAGATGTATTTTAACTTTGGCAGCCTGGACCTTTTTTCCCCTATCTTTAAATCAGTGTCCACTATACGTAGGTTCATTCTAGCCCTCAAAAACCTCCTTCACAAGAAATTTCCCCATTTTGAATTGGCTCTGAAAAACAGGGATTAACACTCTCAATCCCACTCCCAGTGGTGGTGGGATCTTGCTCACCTTCCATATCACATCTGAATCCATCTCCCACAGAAAAGCCCAGTAAACTCACAAGGAAGGATACAGATGGGGAAGGGCAAACACAGGAACAAAACAATACAGCCTCTGGAGAATTCCTGGCTCAAACCACTTAATTCTTAGGTAAAAAGGAACTGCTCAACTCTGAGAACAGCCTGAGCAGCAGTATCCTTACTCCTACAAAGGCAGAACCTCCCCAGTCACTCTCCCTTGTTCTCCAGTATCTCCTGCTCCTTCTCACAGCTCCAGCAAGCCAAAACACATGCATTGCTTTCTCCACCATGATATCCTACAGAAGGCTGCCACTCTCACAAACAGCCTTAACACGTTAATCATTATTATTCACCATTAAATCACTGCTGATTCTCATCATTATCCCTTTCTCCATTCTCTAGCCAAGTCCAGCATTTCTGTTTTCCTACCCTCACCATTCCTGCCTTGCTCTCCCTGGTCCCTGCCTCCCCCTCATGTCTGAGTGAGCCACAGTTACCTTCCTGCCTTTGCTATATAAGGAAACCCCACTGCAGCCCTAATGCTGGCTAATAAGCAAAACTGCATGCCTGAAATCCTAGAAACTGAGATGACTGTAATCATAACACAAAAACAGTCTGACAGTGGCCTTTTAAGTCATTGTGCTTTTGAGTCATAAAAAGCACAAGCTGTCAAAAGCCCATTAAGATATCACAGCTTGATCAGCAAAAAAAGGCACTAGTAAATTGACAAGGAGCAATCAACAATCTCAGAAATAATTAATCTAATATAATCTCAACCCATCTGTTAGTCTCAGAAAATATAATTTTTATGACTTTCTCAGATTCCCCATGCTCAAATTATCAATCTCCTCCTTTCCAAGCCACTTGTAACACAAGCATTCAAAATAGAACATGTCCCAATTTTCCCATTCACTGCATTTTCATTTTTGATCTTTCTATCGTTGGTAGGAGTAGGGTTCTGCTTTCATTTTAATTTTGAGTTCTTGCAACACATTAACAGTGTAATATTTTAAAAGAAAATATTTTGAGGCTCATTTTCCTATGTCCTGTTGCCATCAGTCTCAATCACTGAACAGTACAAATTGTTCAAGTATCGGTTTCCCCTTCCAAATTCCTCTAACCTTTTATCTTTTCCAGAACTACATTTAGATGCAGACTCATGAGCTGTAAGCAAACGTGAGCTTCCCTGTTGCTAAGGAACTGTGTGCCAGTAGACAGCACTGGCAGTGTTGGAAGCAACAGCACAGAGCTGCCAAGTTCGGAATTTGGTCAGCGTCAAAAAATGTAAGCTAAATATTTTGGATGGGACTCTCAATCTTCTTAAAATGGGTGTGAACAACAATGAAAGAAAAATGGATCTAGAAATGACTAGACTCATGAGTAATCCTGCACACTGGATTTTTTCCCCACCAGGGCACTTAAGCTGTATTGCAGAATGCAGCTATTACTATTTATCTAAATTAGGCTTCTTGCTCAATTTCCATTCAGCCAATTATATGCTTTGAGATACTATTTTCAAAACGTTTATCTATCTAAGAAAGGCATTACATAATTTCAATCATTCAGGTAAAAAAGTTTGTTTTAAATGTACCCTTTTGACAAACTTTCTCTGCATGTCAGTAGCTGCCATGATATAAAAATTCTAAGAGTAAATTCTAATGCTCGTCTTTCTAATCTTAAAATAGATTTGTCAACTCAGTTTGGTAGGGAATTCTACTTTTACAAATTTTTGGGTTTTTTTAAACAAGTTTTTACTTTAGTTGCTTCTTTTTCAACACAATTAAGAGGTAGAACCACAGGACTGGACTCTGAATCATTACTTGGCCAAGACTTGATATATCTCTGCCTTAAGCATTTCATCACTTACTGTATCATTTTCCATTCTTTGGAATTGCTCTGTTTTAAGGAACAGAGAGCTTTGTTAGATTTCCCAGATGAGAGGAAGCAATTTAATCCTCCACTGTTACAGAAAAGTACAGTAAAAGCCAATTATACCTTAAGCCTCAGCCTACAGTAACACTGGTTCCCTGGTCAACTTAAACAAATTGAGCCTCACATTTCTAACCTCATTTCTCTGAGGTTACACACCAGCATTTCAGTTTTCAGGCAGTCCCCAGCTGACAGGCTCATACAAAACAAACAGCTGTTCTTTGCAAGAGTTTCTTACGCTCGTGCCTTTCCTCTGACTCTGTCCTGTGTTCAAGACAAAACCTGTACTACCCTCAGGACACTCTGTGTGGTCTCAGCAGACAGATTTAATACCCAGTGCACTCTTATGCATGTTGTGACAACTCTAGATCTAAAGATTCATCAACTATGCTGTTAATAAACTCTATGCCATTACTTAAAAATGTCCTTTAACACCTCAGAACTTTTTATCTGCCAAAGCAGTCAACCCCATCAATACACACTACTTTTAAATACACTCCAGACTGCTGTGGAGTGCCAGTAAAATCATATAATTTATTCATTTTACTGCAAACCAGAATTCCTGATTCACTTCTTGCTCCAGGGAGTTCACTGACCCTGACAAAACACCTTTGCTGTTGCTGAGAACCAGGAGCTGGGACCCAAAGCAGCTACACAGACACTGCAGCCACACACCCCACACACAGGCACCTCCACACACACACAGACACACCTGGTGCTCCACAGCTTCTCCAAATAAAGCAACTCTGACCTCAGTCTGAACATTTGTCTTTATTAGCAAGGTATTTTCCATAAAATATTCAAAAGCTGTACATTCCAAGACAAAACTGAAACTTGGAGAACTGCCAGACTATTAATATTTGTACTCCAGGTATCTGGAACATTCACTGTTCTTAACAGCATTTTATGGTCTTCAATACTGTCTAGGATTAAATACAGTATTTATTCCTTAACACTTACAACAAAATTTAAGACTGAGTTGAGATTGAGAGAAATAATACATAACAGGAGACCAAAGGCATAAACTTTTATAAGACAGAGTTCAGGTACAAAGTCAAGAAGCACCAAGAAAAGCACCTTACGTGGGTAAAGGGAGGTCAAGGAAGGAGTTCCTGACTTTTTCCTGGGGATATGCTGCATGATGACACCAAACAATTCATGAGAACCATGTTCTGAGCTTGTAACTAAACAACTTTGATGAAAGCAGGTTTAGGTTTTCTTCTGCAGAAAAAAGAAAATACAGATTTATCCGGTTCCACTGCCTCCTGCCCAATCAACGCCTTGCTTTTTACTTCGATTGTGCATCCCAATCAACAGCTGCCAGTTATGAGTAACCCTCTTCAGAATAAGAGCAAGAAAAAAAATGAACCAAACGCTTTAGTACATTGATTCACAGATATTTTCAGTTCATTTCGAACTCACAGTATCTACTGAAATCACAGTGTATTTTTGCAGTGTCTGACCTGCCACAATGCAACAAAATTGATCATCTTCCTCTCACAAGACAAATCAGATATAACTTTGGGGCAGTCAGACAGAATTGTGTGAGCTTTGAAAGTGACAGCCTAAAAAAAGAAGAAAAAACCCATTTATTCTATTATTTATTAGAGCTGTCCTACCACCACTGCTACATACAGTAGCAACCTCCAAAAAGGATAGGTAAGTAACTGGAGAAAGCAACACCTTGAAATGCTTCAGTTGCATTTGCTAGGGGTTATTTGCCAGAATCCACAGTGAAATAAAAAAGTAAGAAGCCTATGACAAAACAGTGGCATTGTCAATACCTTGAAGGATAAATTGCTTTCAGACTCACCTGAAAGTGTTGGTTAAACTTGTTTCCATTGGGTCTGCTGTATTTCCTTAATAAGCAAGAAGGCACCAGGCAAAATCTGTGGAGTCAAACAGTTGGCACTGAGAGCCCAACACCTGCTCCAGCCCTGGTCCTGCAGAACAGGCAGTCCCTAACAGCTGAAGACATCTTCCAGGTCAGTGTCCTGTGAAATCAATCTAAATCCTGCCTCCCACGACCACTCCACGATGCAAACAAAAGCACTGGGAGCACAGGCTACTGTGAGATTTGCTCGAAACACGTCCTGCTGATCCAAACAAATCACTTGCACAGAGGCACCCGGAGATGGCAGCACCCCTGCCCCGGTTCGTGGTGCAGAGGGATCCTTCCCACGATCCGCAGCTCACAAAGGCCTAAGCTGAGCAGGGGTTTAACAGCGTGCTGGTTACAATGTTTAATCACAGGTTGTCAATACTTTAGAGGTTATCAGAACGGCAGTCAAGCACCACATCCTGATAGGCAGTGACATAATGAGCATCCTTGATAGTACAGTCCAAGAGACAAGCAACAGACACAGTGCTGGGAGTAGCCTATAGGGTCATTGTTTCACTATAAAAAAACCCAGAAAAACAAAACAAAACAAAAATTAAAGCACTAAGTAAAATCAACCCATAGACCATGTTTGGGAACTGATTTTCAAAGCCAATACCTCATTTCTAGTCTGTCTCTCTCCATAAATCCTGCCCAAACACAGGATGATGATGATGATGATAATCTGCAAAGTATTCCCCAATACTTTGTCCCATTTTCAACTTGCTTTAATCAACCGTATTAGAACAAAAATAACAGGAAAATCAGAGATGTTTGTAAAATTTGACCAAAGAAAACTTAAATACATGGGACTTCCAGGGGAGGTGAAGAGTTTCCTTGAATCATTTTTTATTTAACTGCCAACTGAAAGTTCTGAATTCTTTGGTCCCGACTAATTATTCACCTTTACCAATTCTCACAGCTCAAGAGCTGACATCCCACACTTGGGGAGTAATGTTTCAGTGCAGAGAGCCAGTAACAACCCTCAGCAGGATTTTAAATTTTCACGTTAGATATGAGTGATGCTCCAAAGCAAAGTGATCTTTCAGGGTACTTGCACCGAAAACTGAATAGACTCTTCCCAGACTCCACAGTAAGAATGCCTGAATAAACAGTGAACTGTTTAGAATAAGGCTGCCATCTAGTAGCAGAATAGAGGAAATGCAAAGAAATCTCAAGCCAAAACCTGAACTGTGAACTCACTTGATGGTCAGACATGCTGTTACAGAAAGCTATAAACACTGGCAAGCATAGCTCTTAAGAAAAATAAATGGAAGCAGATTTCTTGCTGAATGGTGGTTTGCAAACAGGCAGTTCTCCAGTACAATCATAAACTATTCAGTTCTTAACAGGAAGTTTACTCAGTCAGGCAAGTCAACATGTACAGAGCTGGACTGGTATTTTACTTGTTCTTCTTTGGTCATAAAAAACAGCAGTCTGATTTGCTTTTTCTGAAAGAAGACTGTTTCTGTCTGAGGTTGCACGCTACAAAAAATGCAGTGAAACAAATGGAGTCAGCCTGAACCACAAAGACAGTCATAGGCAGGGCCTAAAATCTGAAACTAGAGTCACAAAATAAGTTTTGTGTAAGCAACTTCCTGAAGTGTTACCATATTTATTCCTGCTTCTCAGAAACTGTGCAGTTTCAAAGTTAGAGCTGCAGTACATAGAATTTTTCTCTTTCATCACTTAGCTGTCACTGGCTTTATTTTAGTCTCATAGACAGAGTAAATACAATTTACAATTATAATCTACAATGATTTGCTGCAGTGTTTCATCCGTGGATCGTTTCTAACACACAAAGAGAGAGCTCCTGAGATGCCATCATGTTGATGCCTCTTCTGTACAATGCAGAGACTTTCCAGTTCAGTCACTGAATGTGTTCCAAGAAATCTGTCTTGGCATGCCACAGTTACCAGGGCTTTGGGAAGATGCTGAAATGTCCTGTCTATATAAAAAGAATGGCTTGCTTCTGGTTAGTGGGAAGAGAAGGTCTGGTCTCTTGCTTTGCCATATCCATTGGCAAAGAACCACTATCCCTAGGATATTTTCAAGGCCACTTGCTTCCATCACAGCTTTCTCAAAGAAACTGGAAGCTAGCAGGGGAAGAAAAGAAGTATGACAACATGTGGAGAAAAGCTGAGGGCAGAGACCTGGGGAAGACAAAGGGAAGAAACAAAAAAACAGAACTCAAACATTTTTTTCCAGAGAGCCACCAGCAATGAAGGAGAAAATACAGCTTTGCACTTCAGAGAGGTATGAACATATTTTTCAGCACTTATTAGAGAAGGCACCAACCTAAATGTAAAAATTGTAAGTTAAATTTTGTCACATCTAGCAATATTAACTTCAGGCCTCTGACAGTAACTTTAACTCCACGTGGAAGAGCAGAAAGAAGCAGAACAGGTAGGAAAGGTCAGAGCACCCAACAAACTGCCTTGGCAGTTTCCTTTGTCCCTTCTTATCACAGCAAATCTTGTTCTAGCAACAGGAGCAACACCAGCCTGATCATATCTTTCAGTTTTCAAAGTCAGAACTTTCCTTTTGTCGTTCTGAGTTTAACAACTTACCATGCAAACATAACCTCTATCCTTAAGAGTTACTCATCTGTCTTTACTCCTGGTCTCTGTGACAGGCTGGGGCTCTGGAAAGCAGAAGTCTACATGATGTAGGGAAGTAGGTCTTGTGATCACAATTTCTCATTTACTGGAAGACAAATGTTTATTATTGGTTTAAGTTCATTTCCACACCCACCTTCTCATCCAGTGCTAAACAGGATCCCAATTATTCCTTAGGAGTTAAGAATTAAAAATCACTTTCCATGTTTCCTGCTTTTGCCTACAAAGTTTGCATCTGATCAGTTCCTTCTGACTTCACTTGAAACTACCACGGTTCCTTCTTTTAACCAATAACTAACAGACAGTCAGTATTTGATAGTCTGGCTTTTAAAAAAATCTTGGCTTCCACCCAGAGCTCAGTTCTGCAGCAGAACCTCATCAGGCAATTCCCACCATTGAAGTAATGGGATGCTGAAGAGTATGAGTAATACTTAATTAAAAAACATTTAGCTGCATTCCCCTTCTCAGAAAAGGGCGAATGAAAGGTGGCAAAACCCCAGTGTATCAGATTTTTATGAATGTAATTACCTCCTACACCTCCTTCCACAGGATTTTACACGGCTTGAGGTTTTGGGGTATTTTTCTTGGTGACACAAAACCCCCCTGTAGTTACTAAAGGAAGAGTTTTGGCTCCTGTTGTACAATATCACTTGAACAAAGACCACTGTGTTGAATGTCTTCCCCAAACCTATTTCCCCCAAAACAGCTCAGGTAGACTTTTGCTTTGGTGTTTACAGTCAACAGTCCAAACACAACAGTGAGAAGAATTACGCTTTTAAAAGGCAGGCAAAGAGAGCTACTGACAGTAAATCGAACTACCATATCCTCATGTTTTGGCAATGGCAGTAAGATGCTAACTGCAGATCCACATCCCTGATGCCTGCTTGTCTCCCTCTCCAGGAAATAATGGCCCAAGAAAGAGTATGGCAGAAGAACTTACCAGCTGGGCAAGGCAGAGACCAGCAAACAGTTGTTACAAAACAAGTGCTTAGCTCTTAAACTTCAGGAGCCTGACCCCAGAAAGTATATATGACTTGTAAAAAACAACTCTATGTATCAGGGAATGATTTTCTAGAGCTAATTCATACACAATATGACACTAACAAAATGCCCTCTCCCCCCAAATTAAACCACTTTAGTTTTCTTCCTATCAGATTTACATCACACCTATTAAAAAAATGTAAGTCTCAAGTCATATCTAGGATGAATACCAGACTTTTAAGAGGATAAAAACCAACACACCCTGAGTATCACAAACATACTTAATTCCCAGTTCAATAAAATCTTGGAATATCAATTTATTAAAAAGTTATGCGAACTGTACATACGTAAACTGCAATATAGCTGAAAAATCTGAAATATATAATTTTAAAGGAAAATCATTTATTTCTGAAAATATTTAAAATATTGCATTTCTGGCAGCAAATTCAAGAGAAGTGCTCTGGAATAGGTGCAGTCTCTCTGTGCATTTGTCTAACAATTGTCTTCAAGGCGTAAAACATATCTGCTTCCTGATTTCTCACAGCACAGCGTTGTGAACACTTTCTTTCTGGTAGAGACAGAATTCGATTTCCAAGAAAAGCAGCAGAATTTTAACAGGAAATACTATGGTCCTTGTTGGTGTAGACAACGCACTTCCCGAGAGTCCATGACACCTTGGCCATCTGCCAGCCATCCTGCATAAACTGCACCACACTGTGCTTAAAAGTCACAGAATAAGTCTTTGATTGATAATTTTTCTGTTTATTTCCGCCAAGGCCACCGAAAATACGAAGGCCTTTTCATCTGAAAGGTTAGCATACATGTCAACTTCTTTTTCTTGTTTCTCTGTAGAAGAAAAAAAAGTCACTATTAGAAGTTTTTTCCATTATTCCAAGTTAATGCAAGTTACACAGAAGTTAATAAATTATGTGGAGTGAAGTAGTGGAATTGAAGTCAGACAATCAACTCCTGTGCACGAGGGGTTGAGAAAGAGGAGGAAGCAATGGAGGCACACAAAGGTGCTGGAAGAGCCACAGAATTAGTCATCCAAAAGCATGACTGAATTTCTGTTCTTAAACCATGACAAAAGAATGAGTCGTTAATATAACGATAAACAAGTATTCAAGTGTTCCTTCAGTGGTTTTGGTTCTGCTGGTTTGTTTTTTTAATTTTACATAAACACCTCACATCCTAGAAAACAAGGTTATTTTACAATATACTCATTAAACACAACATTTATTTCCCTACTTCCCATATAAGTGAAAGCAACCCAAGAGTTTAATTAGAATATCAAAGACCAAAGAGCAGATACTTGGCAGAAGTCAGGCTCCCAATTTATCATCATGAACACTTCTGGACTTTCTGCATTGCATCCTTTCTGTCCTATCTCAGCTGGAGAACAAGGCTAACACCTCCCTGAGCAAAGGACAGCCTGTGAGCCCCCTCTGCTGATGTTGGCTTGTTTCAATGCTACAGACACACAACAGGAAGCCATCAAAAGTTTCCACACCGCAGTGCTCAAGTAAACTGAGTCACACCACAAAATCTTGTCAAGTAATACAATTTCAGAAATATCACTTTCATAAATATCACCCACTCCACATCACTAGTATTTATATCCCAGTTTATCCAGCCACAGGTAGATGACACAAATCATTAAGAAAATAAAGCCAACAAAGAAACAGTTTTGTCAGCAGAAGACCAGGCTTGTGGATACAAAGAAGAGAGAAATGCATTCAGAGCTTTAAGGTCGGTGCCCAGCTGTGGAACTCCATCTCTAGCCCAGGTTCCACAGTGGCCTGTACTAATTTACAACCATGACACAAAGCTCACCTGACAGAGCCCTCTGTCTCACTAACACAGTCAAACATGTGGCAAATGTTCCAGCAAGGCACCTGGACTAGCATGGGAGAGAGTGAAAGACAAGGCAGCACTGGAAAATAATGGAAAGCACCAGGTGGACAAAAGATCCCAGCATCTCCTTTCTCCACCTACTCACCCGGTCACCCCTCAACGCGTTCACATTCATAACAATATTTTTAGATTTGGTTTCACATTTGTGTTACAGCTATGGACAGAATTCCAACAGACTGCCTTCCCTGTGAAATCAAATGCTTGCATTAAAAAACTAAGTAGGAAAGCTGAAAATCCTTTACCACCATGTTCTGATTTAATACTGATACAGAAACAGCAGAAACAAGCTGTCTGTTGGTTCCCTGGCTATGCAAGACAATATCCTCTAGAGTATTGAGTCTGAAATGAGTTAGAAACTGAGTTTCAGTGCAAGTCCTGCCTTGTAGTTTAAGGTAAATCAGTCCCTGTATGTACACTCTGTCTGGGTTGCTCCACTTCCTCCCTCTCACCATTTAAAAATTAACAATGCTGGGAGTTGTTCCGAGCACAGACACTGCACACACTGGTTATTCCACATTAACCTTTTGTATTTTCATATCTAAACCCCACCCCTTCTTTCATGCTTCCTGATCCAAATCCAGCCACCACTTAAATATATGGGCACCTGGCAAAATGAAAAATACTCCACCACCACCACCCCTGGGCTACTGTTAACAGATTTTGGACGTTTTAAATTTTAGTCGCCCTTCCCCCCTGTCCTCACAGGACAGGTTTGTTCTGAGAGACTTCATCTCACAGAAATCTTAATATCTAAGAGTATCAGGGATTAAGGTTTGCAAACTTCCCACATTCTCAGGACAGCTCCAGTTCTCAGCAGTAGCAAGTGCAGAGTCTGCACCAGCACGACATTTTACCCCAGGCTGCTCATGGGACACCGTGGCTTCTGCAGACACGGTTAAACCTTTCCACTTCAGTCTCGTCTGAGAATAGATTTGACTCATTTCTCTATTATGAGCAAAAGACAAAAATGGCACTGTGCTTCTGATAGACAGTAAGACATTAAATAATAAGTTTTTTGCTGTACAACTAAGAGGTTATCGAGGCGAAAATAGTCTGTCTTTCTGGAGCACGTCTCTTGCATCCCCAAATCTCCTGCAACCCCTTATACCTGCAGCCCTTAAAACTGAATATGCACAAATCAAATAGGGAGCCTCCCCCTCACAAATTTTGCAAGGATTCACTACTCAAGATAGGAAGTTACTTCAAATGTGCACACTGGGCAGCAAATGTGTGAGTAACACAGCTGGAAAACACTGGAGAAAGAAAATTTGGGCCAAAAATATTTACTTCAGCTCAAGTTTTATCAGGATACTGAAATATCTTTATAAAGATTCATCCCTTGTTAAGTAACAAGTATGCTTTAGCAATTCTACAGACCACTTTTACTGAGTCTTATTTGCTGGTAACCTCTTTCAGAATAAGCAACACCACTTCCTCCAGCACACAAGGGTTTTGTTTGTTTTAATACAGTCAGGGTTGGTACCCAGATAACAAGGCAGCCTGGGAACAGGTCTGGCTGTGTGTCAGTCCCACACAGCGAAACAAAGAACACACCACCACAGCAACAATATCAAGAGTCAAGTTATTACGAAGTGTTTCTATTTCCAAAATATATTGTACCATTTCTGACAAAGAAATCAAGTGATAACTCTGACAAGCTAAGACTGCAGAGAGAAGTTCCTATTTTCCAGGGTCATCAAATGGCTCTGGAACACGAGACAGGACTATTTTCTGGGTCCCAGCACTCCGCCATATCCCCTCAATCTACATCAGCTTCCCCTTTCCTCCCCCTCCATTCCTTCTTGCTAAATCTGCAGGAAAAATAGCTTATTTTAAAAAAGCCTTTTTGCTTCTTCTGTTCTTAATTGCTGCTGAATCCTTCAGCTCTGTGCTCTAATGTGAACCAGTCACAAAGGACACAAAAGAACCAGTCAAAGGCAAGGACATAACTGGAAACAAGCACACTGTGTATGGAAAGAGCATGGCAAGCAAAGAAGCAAAGCTACAAATGCCATGGGGATCTTGAGGAAGACAATTTTCATAGCTGGGTGGTCTTCAAGTGGACAAATGACCTGCTCTTCCATGCTATTATAACTGAGGTGTTTTCTGTCCTCCTCTTCTTCCATCTACCAATGCATTAGGCATTGCAGAAGCCCAAGAGGCACCAAATATTTAACACCTATGCAAGTAGTCTTTTCAAATATTTGGGGTGAAAGAAGGACAGCACCATCTCTAATGGCAAGCAATGTGTACCCAAAATATCACAGAAACAAACAACAGGCAAGGAAATAAGATACTTAAAGTCTAACACCAAGCTGACACCTTTCACTCCAGAGCTGACTTTCACCACTACACAGACTGATACCAGGACTAGCAATCAGTCACACAACAATCACCTTAACTGTAGCAAGTTGGTTAATAGACATAAACAGTTGCTTAATATACACAAACAACACTATTAAGCAGCAGGTTTGGTAAAGGAAGATTATTTCTAAAATTCCCACTAATTACTTCACACACAGTAGTTAGATCAATTTTCTAAGAGACTTGAAAAGAGAGAGGTCAATGTTAACTTGATTTATAGTCATTACTTACAAAATGATGAGTTCAGTGTTTAATTTATTTTTATAGCCATGACAGCCATATATATCACTTTTTTTTTTTTAATCGGCCCCAAAATCACCACAGTGACACATTACAGTCTGACATAACTAGAAATAAGTCAGAAGTAAGAAAATATTCTAAGCCTACTTACTCCTGAGCAATAACATGAGCTGTCCTGGTGCAAAGATAATGACAAATGGGTGTGAACCCAGGCTCTGTACCAGCTCTGCAGAAGAGGGGGAGCAAGACACTGCAGCAGTGGCCACAAGATCAAGTAAAGGGGGTGGCAAGAGCAGGAAAAGATGAAGGTAATCTTACCAAGGGTGATTCAACTTTAAAAAACACACCAAGAAAAAGGCACACCACAGACACACACTCTGATGCAAAAATCTCACTGCATCTCTGTCTCCAGTTTTCTGCCTCTAAGCACTGCCATACTGTACTTTGCAGGATGCAGCAGGAGGTTGGAAACACTCAGCCTAGTTCTGATTAGGAAAACGTGGTCTCTAAATATCCCTCATGCTGTCAGGTTCTTGCTCTTTGGAGACTATAAAACATGCCTTAAAAGAATGGATCTTCTCCTTTGACTGCTTTCCTCTTTTTCAGGGGACAGAAAAGAAGATTTACTTTTATAGGGCAACCCAAGCAGCTTGCTGGAATTTTAAAACCAAAGCTGTTTGTGAACTAGACCAGCAGTTAAAATGCCTAGAAAGGATCCTAAAGCTGCTTGACAAAGTCTAACTTGGGTCAATAACAAATAGGGAAGCTACATACATCAATAAGCCACACAAAACAGTGAAGAGATTAGATATTACCAGTGTATTCCTATTATAGCAAAACAATTGCCACCCAGAAAAAAATACAGAAATCAAATTCCACCTCCTCCTTCCACATCCACAGCACTAAAAAACTCCACCAAATCCCAATTTATACTTGTTTTTTACATGAAAGAAACATTAAGAAAGAAGATTTAAATTAAACAGCAAAGATGTCAAAATTGGTTTTGAAAAGGAATTAAAGGAATTTGCAGCATGGATTAGCACCCTTTTTTTGGTTAACAAACAAGTTGGAAAGGAAAAAATAAATGCATTTCTGAGTTATAGCACAAGATAGGCTTGAAGGGTTCAGGAATTTTAAGAACAATATCTTCTGAATATTTGTATGAAGTCTTACTTTCCTCTTACCTGCCTTCCAACATTTTTAAGTCCATGCTAAGTTTTAGATTCGTAATTCAGGCCCAAAATTACTATCTCCAAAAACACAGATAGCAAATGAAGTGTCAACGGGCTCTTAAAACAACAGAAATTTTCAGTGATGGTTACATTGTTGAGGGGCTTGTAACAGTCTCTTTGCTGTATAAAGACTAAACTCAGCAGGTTACCAAGGAACCTTAGTAATCACGGAGGCATTTTTTCCTCTAGAGTGTTACTCTAGAAACATGGAACCAAAATTCAGGTCATAGTAATGATGCCCTTTTTACTTTCAGGCCTTCCTGAAGTTTTCAAAACACTTTTTAAGCAGTCCAGTCCTTCTAATCCCTCTCTGACAACAGACATCATTATATTGCTTGTCCTTGTGATATAATGCAGTAGCACCTTAATAAAAACCAAATCAAAACGAAAAACCTACCTAGCACTTCAGTCCAATGGCTTTCAAGCTACATGTTGAAACTTGACACAGTGGCTAAAAATACAGATTTAGATCTTTGTGGTTTGTTTCATCAGACACTGAAACATAAAACTAGAGGCCTCTATAGATGTGAAACAGTCCCTACCCTACATTAAGATACCAGGTATTGGCTGAACTAGTCTAGTTAAATGGTTTATTGATTAACAAAAAGTCTTCATACAAATAGAAAACCCAGTGAACATATTTCTCCAGTTCTCATACCTCTTTCTTCCTCGTGCTTTTTTGCTGAGGCACTTTTAGGTCTTCCTCTTCCTCTTCTGCTGTGATCTGAATGGCTGTTAGACCTGGATCTTTTTCGGTTTTCTAAGTCTTTATTTACTGCAGAATTTATCTTCTCTCGCTTAACTCTCTCTGTCCTCCTCCTTTTGGCCTCACTCTTGTTTTCTGTGCAAAGGAATAGAAATGGAATCATCCAGGGTTCTTTTCATCTCTGTTCTTAATTTATTCCTAGTGCTTACCCCATCTTTTTTCCTTAAAGTGGTTAGATGTCTATGCCTGCACATTGCATCCACGCAGAAATGAAGAGCTCAGATCCAGAATGACACTTCACCTCTTGATTACAAGGATCAAGCCTTCAATTGCTTCAAATGCATTTTGTAACACGAGACATTTGCTAGCACACGAAAAGCTCAGTTTCCCAAACAAGATGGAAACACAAACTGTACACACCACAGCCACCAAGACAGCCCCACTGCATTTGTTTCCTCTAGCAAAAGAGAAAGGTTTATCATACAGGCAAACACCACAACACTTGAGCTTCTTTTGACAGTAGCAATGAAATCATTCCTGCTGCTCAGACAAATCAAAGGCTGAGTCAACGATGCCGTCAGTAAATGCCATTAAACACAGTGTAGGTGTCCCAACAAATGTAGCCTATGACAAGGTTGGGACAGGGGTATTGTTTTCCTACACACCAAAGTAAAAACAAAAAAACAACAACAAAAAAAGTGTATTTACATGAGTTTCACCTGGAGGTTAAGTATGAATTAATGAGCTTGGGTACCCAAAATAGTACAGAGACCACAGCACACTCCTGAACATGGATTAGCAGCACGTCTGCAAGGCTGCAGCACCATTCTGCAGCAGCTGTATTGCTGGAAATACTGAAACATTTCCTAAAAGAAGTGGTAGGTACCTTATGAGCACAATATAGACACAGACAGTCTCTTACTGTATCTTCCTGGGGAACTGATTTTCTCTTGCTGCAGTTGTCCCACTCATCTTGTACAGGCTCAGGGCACAAACTGGACAGCAGTGTAACTTGTCACTAATGTTAATACCAAACCTTATGTATTTCACAGTGTCACATAACCTGTATTTCACAGTGTCACCAACAGGTTCAAGAATCCAGGGACGCTCTGGACACCAACCTCTCCTCTGCTCAAGCAGGGCCACCAAGAACCAGTTGGCCAGGACCCTGTCCAGAAGGTTTTTGAGTATCTCCAAGGCTGGAGACTCCACAACCCCTCCGGGTAACCTGGGTCACTGCTTGGTCACCCTCACAGTAAAAAGTGCTTTCCAGAGCTCTTTCCTACAGGATGGCCCCTCAGTAAATATTCACTTTGTCTCCCCGGTGCATTTCCTATGTCCAAAGCTGAATTACACCACCAGATTGCAGCCTTCAGCCTCACTTGGTAACTACTTCATCAACAACTGAGGAAAAGGAAAGAAAACTTCCAACACTTCCAACCTACCACAGACATTTCTCAACCTCCTCCACCTTGCAAGTTAAGTTATCAACACGATATCATCTGATTGCTACAAGATCCTTCAAAACAGGGATACAAAACATCAACTGCTTAACTTCCATTTTGTAGGTCTGGTAGATAATTTTAAAAAGCAGACATTCTAGATCAGATATGCTGTTGGGGGTTTTTTTGGTGTTTGTTTTTTTTTTAATGTACATCTTTCCTGGCAGGTTCTTGTTCTCACTCATTCTTACTAGGACTGGAGGAAGTGACAAAAATTATCAGAAGATCAGAAGAAGAATGTTATTCATGCCAGAATGCACATTCAACTGACTGATTACTGTATCCACTTGACACACAAGTTGGACACAAAAAATACACTATTTTTCAATTCAACCCATGGAGAGAGAAGCGAGACTAAGAGAAACGAGATTAAACGTTATAATCAATTTTATTTTTTACTTTCAGAACACCAAGCTTCAATCAGCACATACTCTGAAATCAGATCCTTCTGGCACTTCTAGACACTTAGCTTCGAAATAAGATTAACACAAAGCTTCCTATAATGAGGTTTTTTGCATAGACACCAATGTGCACAGCTAGAACATACACAGAGAAAATGCCAACATCACAAGTGCAAAGGAAGTAAGATGAAAACACCAGCTTTGCCCCCCTACTCAAAATTCAAGCAAAATCAACATATTCAAAGTCTACCATGCTCAAAATCAAGGGAAAGTGAATTGACAATAGTTAATTTATCCAGAGAAGTAAAATAATTGATCCTTTGCCTCCAATAAATAAGGGGAAAGAACTGTTGCCCCCTTCCTGCCCCTCTGTCAGTATTACCTGTGATGGGTGGTGATCTCTCAGAACGTTTAGCATGCAAGAGTTTTCGACTAATAAATATGTAGCCACAGGGACATGATTTACATGCAACAGGAACCTGGGAAAACAAAAGACAAATATTTCAGATAGTGTCGAATTACGACAAAATTCCTGCCCGATGAAGAAACAAACACACCAGTAACTCACATTTGGCAGAGATAACTCTTCCAATTCAATCAGTACTGCAAACTATGGCCTGTACTATTATACAATTGTATTTAAACATAATAAAACCAGAATATGCTGTGAATCACTCAGCAAGCCTTTTCTTTATGCAGTTGTTCAAAACCAAGCTGGAAACGCACAGCTGTTGTGATTGCTTTGCACTGCTTTTCCCCAGGCTGGCAGGAAGGGGGTGGGGGAAAGTGGAGAGCATTAAAGGAAGGCTGAATTAAAATAGAAATACAATTTCTCTTCAGAGCTCTCAAATATCACCAGTCAAATCAGTCAGACATTTCCAGTTGTGCTTCCTCTATTTATTTTTAAAAAATATTTATCAGTTAAAACCATCAGTGTATTCAGAATACATTCACTTTCAGAAGCATTTGAAAACAGCTCCTTTAGAGAGCAGGAGCAGCTTTAAACAGGAGGCACAATAGAGCCCGAAGCAAAACAGATGCATTTGTACCACACTCTGCTCCAGAGCTGGAGACAAGGCCGGGTGGCCACAGAAGGACCTTGTTAATTCAAAATGCAAATAACCCACCAAAGCCAGTCAAAAACCGACTGCAGGCCCAAGAGTTTGAGAGAATACAGGGCTTTTCCTGATCAGCTGAGCAGACAGGAGCAGTGTGTTCCCCCAGAATATGACAATGTAAAACAAGAAATGCCACATTTAATATGAAAAAATGAAAAAAAAAATCTTACTCAGAGCAATTTTTTTAAAAAGCCACACTGATAAATTACACTCATTACCTTAATGCCAAGATCTTTGGAGATCTTTTAAAAAGTAGTAAGGAATACACCATGTTGCTTTGATTAGGTTTAAGACTGAAAACACAAATCAAAGCAAGTTTAAACAGAGATCTGGAAGAGATTAAAACAACACACATGAAAGTCGAGTCATGTTGAAGCATGACAGTGGGGGAGAAAAAGCAGGAGGGACTTTCTCCAGTGTAATTCTTTAAGACAGGTCACTACAAGTTTGTCAGTGTCCGCTGAAACAAACAGGAGCACAGAACCACGACTGTCTGCCCAAAGTAACCAGAGATGGACAAGAACCAAGCCCCAGTGTTCCACCGGCTAGGAAAGACACTGCCAAAATAGTACATGAATTTGTAAAGAGGAACTTAACTGCTACTCAGAATAAAAATTATTTGGCTTTCTGCAGCACATCTCAGCTCCTGTATTTCACTCTACAAGCAGCTTACAGGTAAGACTTTTGACACAGGTTTTACACAACCAGAGACTTTTTCATTCCCTTTATGGAGACACTGACATAATAAAACCAATTCCAATAAAGGTTTATTGAACCTTAAAGCTCAGAATTTAGCAGACTTATATGCACACTTGTCTCCTTGTTCATATGTCAGTATAAAAGTACTAAAGTCCACAGTCTAGCAGATAATGTGTGTATTTTTAAGGTGATACAGAAGTTACATTTAAATCCATTTTTGAACACTTGGGTCTCTCCAATAATTATGTTTCCAGGCTCAGCTTAAAAAAAATTTTGACAAAACCACCCAAGGGAATTGGAACAGACCCAGTATTTTCCAACGAACTTAACTGTATCTAACAGAACAATACTGTTCTCACGTTACAGGTTTGGCATGTAGGTGTGTGCACCATTAGCGGGGTGGGGATTGGTGGGAAAGGGGTTTATTCACTGAAATGTGTCAGTTATCCTTTGAAGATCTACTTTGATAACATCCTGCACCATAATTAAGGCAACATAGTCCTACAAACAGTATTTTACTTTGTTTAACATCTTCCTAACCAAAAAGAAATTAAGTTTCTTATACAAGAAATTTTACCTGACACTAAATTAAGAAGTGATAATTATTTTCTCTCATTGACTGTAAACACTTCAGGCTCCCTAGTTTAATGGGGTTGTGCTTTGGTTGTGAAAATATCATTGGCAATGATATAGCATCTAAATTAAAATAAAAAACGTTTTAAGCCCTAAGAGGTCTTACTCAATATTACACTTCAATAATTGTGGCTGTCTTATATCTCCATGATCGCCACTTCTATTTAAGAAATCAGAATCAAATGCAAGGCCCTAGTTTATGGAAAAATTTAAGAAAGACTACTACAGGACACAACCACTAAAGAATCATATGAAAGCCTCCCCTTACTCTGCAAAGGGCGACCTGTACTGTAGGGTTTAGTTTCTTTTTCCCTCTCAAATATTTGGCAGTGAAAAAAAAGGTCCTGTGAGCAGGACAAGACATATATGCACATAAATTCCAAGTTAGCCACAGAAGAGTTGCTAAAACAAAATCTATACTGACATATGCATATCCTGTGTTTTAAAGTGCAGAACAAAGTGAAAGCTATCACATCAGCTTAAAAAGCCTACAGTGTTTGCTTATTTGCCCTCTCTATTGTTGGTTTGACATTCACTACATTTAGTAAATAAAACAAAAAAGAAATAAACAAACAAAACCAACCAAAACCCCCTACTCTCATATATAACTTCTCACTCATTTTCACTTCTCCTTTCACCAACTGAATAACCAGAACTTGGCACACAATTCTTTCTCAGAAATAGCACTTCAGTGACGTGCTTAACGTGAGCATTTGCAGTGGTTCATCTGCTGGTTAAAACACGAAAGGACGCCCACACACAGCTCAGCACTCCAAACTGTTCCAGCAGGAGTAGAAACACTGGAAAAACTATGCAAGTCAGAACCAATAATACGATTATTTTTTTTTTTTTTTTTAAGTAGAGAAAAATGGCATGAGGTTATTTTTTTTTTTAAGTGTTGCTAAAGGAGTGTGTCCCGGTCCGTGTGCAGGGTGGAACGGGAGCAGCGCGGTTCCCATGACTGCATGTGACAGGCTCTGCCCCTCCGCCGAGCCCCTCGGCCGCTGCTGCAGCTCCGGGCTATTGTTCGGGGCTCCGCTGGAACCGGCTGGCGTGTTTTTTAACACCACATCGCTCCCGGCGAACGGGGATGAGCTCCCGGCACGGCAGCGCTGCGAGCAGCTCCATTCTGCGGCACCCGCAGCGGGACCCCCGGGCTGCAGGGCAGGCAGCGCAGCAAGGGGCTCCATTTCGGTGCTCCCGAACTGCCCCGTGAGAAAACAGCCCCGCCGAACGCCCAGCCTCAGGCACACCAGGCACCCAAAGGGCGAGCTGCATTATATAAATCACCGAGCTCGTTGTACTTGCAACGAGCCCCACAGCCACCCAGCACCACGGGCACACAAACAACGCCGCGGTCGCACAGAACTGCCAAGGGCTCCACCGTAACGTGAATACCACGGTCCCCTGCAAGAGGGACGCGGTGTGTAATCCACATTCCACGCAGGAAGCCGCAAGAGGCAGCAATTGTTTGTTTCGCACAGAATCCGCCCCGCAGCGGCACCGAGACGCTTCTCCGCGCCCTCCCTTCCCAGACCGCCGCGCCCGGCCCGCGGCCCCTCACCTGCTGGTCGCACTCCGGGCAGGACTTGGTGGCCATCTTCACTTTCTTGGCCCTACTGGAGGACATGCTCGCTGCTGCCGCGGCTGTGACTGACACTGCCCGGGCCGGAGCGCCGCCCGCCCGGGAGGAGCCGGAGGGAGGAGCGGGAGGGAGGAGCGCGGAGGGAGGAGCGGGAGGGAGGAGCCAGAAGGAGGAGCGAGGAGGACCTTTAGGAGGTCTCCGCGCCCCCTCATGGCCATCGACAAAGGGGCTGTTCCTGCCCGCGGGATGAGGGAGCCCAGGGGATAATTGAGGATGAAAGGAGCCTGACTGAAATGTACGTGCTGTCAGGAAGCATCGAACACAGATTTTCTGGTCTTCATCTCAGTTCGGCAAAATAAAGACTGGACTGGAGGGGAATGGTTATCGCCTGCTGCTCTGGTGCCTTTAGGAGCCTGCAGGTTCCAGGGTCGGGGTGTTCAGTCATGCACTTAAGCCAGGTTATGCTTGCAAATGCGATGTTTTTAGAGTAAAATGTTGTCAGGACCAGAACAACATGAACAGCACGAGGCCTCTGCTATCTCAGCAGGGTCTGAATTTTTGAGAGGTGAACTGCATTCATTCAATCCTTCAGATTCTCGGTTTGGCTTGCCAGCCCTCTCTATCCTTACTACCAGTATTGTACGATGAATAATGAATCAAACATCATTTGCAATATCCTCTCCTGTGCCAGCACAACCTGTTGATTTTTTCGATCATTCCTCCTCCATCAGTCTCTACCTTGAGCCTTGTTCTCATGCAGGGAATGAGAATATACTGCTCTGTACTTGAGAGCATCTCAGTCTCCCTGTGTGTGTGGTGGTTTCTGTCTGTGTACACAGTTACTAAACTGGCTCACTTGCCCTTTTCCTTTTCTCCTTAGTATTTAAAGTTATGACTCAGAGGGTGTATCTGTTTCCCTGTTCTCTCTGTGTGTTGTTTCCAGCCCATACCAATCCATTGGCATAGGTCTTTCTCCAGAGATACACAAAGACAAGACAAGTTTATTTTCCATATAAACTGTAACTGCTGCCAAAAGGACAAATGTGTTCCATATAGGTGGGACATCCAGATTTCATTCCTGAATCCAGAACAAGTCCATGCAACCAGGACCTTGAGACTACTTTTGGATTTTTTTTTTTTTTTTTTTTAACTGAGAAGCTCTAGACATAGCAAAACATAGAAAGGTATTTTAGGGGAACTTATAACAGCAGGGGGCTCTGCTGGGTATAGTAACAGTATCTAGCAAATAAATTAATGAATATACAGGAGAGGTCACAGAGATTTATGACAACACCTTGCTTTTCTTTGTGCAGCAAATAGTCAGGGACAGCTGTTCAGCTATTCCAATACAAACAAAAATATTTTCCTTATTGGATGCAAACAAGATAGTATTCCTAGCTAGACAACTGATTATTAAGATTTTCCAAACAGATAAATATTTTTCTGGTTATTCTAATTTATTAACACATTAGTTTTGAGTTTTGAAAGTCCAAGACTATTTTCTTTTACATAAGAGGTTTAATCCAGTACTGAGATAAAACCAGCAAGTACAAGTACCTCCCCTCTTAAGAGAGTCAATGAGTGGCACTTTGCAAGACCAAACCTCATTTCAGATGTGTTTTACACCAATTTAAAATAGCAAATAAGCAACTTGTGCCATTTCTCTGTTTTATGAAAAGCTATACATGACTTTGTAAGTGCCTGATGGCTGCTTTTCTTTGCTGTTGTCACCACAGGGTCCAGCTGAGCTGAATGGTCTGAGGTCTTAGGGCTCTTTCCCGGTTCACTGGAATGCAGGGCACACACCTGCCACATCAGCTTCCTGAACACTGCAGTATTTTGTTGTGCAACTCTAATTTTACAAGAAAGAAAAAAATCCCCAAATAGGTAAAATTCACATAAATAATCCACCTTAGATGGGCAGAAGAAGTCCTTCCTAAGTTACATTTCTGGTCACCACTCCAGGCCATTCAGAAGGATCCCACTCTCCTGCTGCAGTGTCCCCTGGGAGGGCTGGCAGCCTCCCTGCCAAAGTGCTGACAACACACAGCAAACGGAGAAATGAAATTCCTAACGTGCTGTGCAATCTCGTGTCAGAAAGGTTATAAATCATTTCCCAGTTAAGTAACAACTTCCCAGCTAGTCAGCTATATTCAGTGGGGTTTTATCCTTTCCACAGACAAAGCACTATCTGGAGAATTCTTAAGTTATATCTAAAATTCGAGAGTAGAATGTATGAGAGGAAAATTACAAATAATAAGAAGAGCTAGATGATAATATTTGCAATGTGGCAGTATTCAACTGATAAGAAGAAAATACTGTATAAAAATGAAGTCGCTATACAGACAAGCTTTAATACTATTTCCTGTGATTCTGGTTTTGACAATTTTGGTAATCACAATAGTTTGTAGTACTTAGTAATGTACTGTGCTATGAAATCTCATCAGTAGATTTCATAGTAGGCTGTAATCTGAGTACCCTCCTAGTCCTTTCACAGGGAATCAAACTTGTGCCTAACAAGTCCTTTGAGATCCCATTACTCTAAATCTGGGTGAGAACAACATTTAAGTGGTACAAATGTCGGCTTTGTTCTCCAAGTATGACTGAATATTGAGTGTTTCCCAATTACAAAGTGTTTTTTAATTTACAGTGTTGTTGTGCATTGATGCCTTTTGGTTTCAGGAAGCCACGTTCAGGCTGCCTTCCTGTCCCAGCTCGGCCTGGCACATCAGAGCTTGCCTGAGGAAAAAGGACCATGGCCCCAGTGTAAGGAAGTACTTCCACCAACACAGTGTAGCTGCTGGATATCTCACACAGCTACTGCAGGTCATGAGCCAGCTCAAGGTCTTAGTGCATCACCAGCTCGGGGGCAATCAGGGCCCACTCGTGCAGTGAGTCACTGCAGCACTTCCCCACCTCTGCAACTGGAAGTCAGCATCACCTGACCACCATAGTCCATTAGACAGAGCCTAATCAAAGCCAAGCCCACTTCAGTAAACAACACTTGACAATTTTTAAGAAGTTATATTTTTTCTATACATTTACTGTGCTTCTTTTTGTAATCAGAAGGAAATATTTTATTTTCTTTCTTCTGAGTTTTAGTAATATAGGAAAAAATTCCTTGAACTTTTCCATTCAACTGGTTGGTTTTAGCTGATTCTTAAAGCAAATGTGGCCAATACAATGACCTTTTCCATGTACTTTATAATAATGAGCTGCACGTCACTGAAACCCTCTAGGGGTAAACACTTGCTGAGAAGATCCTCCTCTAGTAAAGCTGAAGCACAACCTACACAATGAGTCTTATGGCCCAGGTCAACAGTGGTTTTTACAAAGGATTTTCAAGAGAAGCTTTTAATAAAATATCTATAATTTCTATAATGCCAGTAGCAGTTAACATTCCATTTGAAAAAAAAAGAGGCATCCTACATTCTATTCTCACATATCAGGCCTTCTTCATGGGAAAATTTGTCAAGATCCACATTATTCAGAACAGCTCAGTTTCAACAAAACAATGCAATTTCACCAAAAACCTCACATTACCTTCCTGGAGCACCTTTTCAGTTAATTCTTATGAAGACAATTCAATAGATTGTTTTACACATTCTATTTGAGTTCAGTTTTTGGGTAGGAGGTTGAGCTTTTTCTTTTCTTGGCTTATCGTGAGATAATGGGAGCTGTTAAACATTAAGGTATGAAGTTACTGAACTGGTACTTTTTTCACAGACTGAGTTGAACTTTGGACAAGATCTTAAAGATTTATACACATTTTGAAGAACAGAAGCAACACTGATTTCTCTGAAGATGCTCCTTATACTCTGAACTGCTACCATGGGCAGTATGCCACAGGAAAAACCATCCTCCATACTTGCACAACACAGAATTAAAAAAGCTTTGCTCTTTTTGGCTTACTGAACCTACTTTTTATAATGTGGTTTCCATCTCCTTAGTGTCCTCACGGATTCCTCAATATCATTAACAATGCTCTGGCATTTTAAGAGCAGTTTTCTATCCAGTGTCTTTACTTAAATGAAACAGCAGGAAAAAAAATGAATGCTTACTTACCACGTGCCATTATTGTAATTATGGGGTTTAAACCACGCAGCTGTTGATGGAAAGCAGCTTGTTGAAGGTTTGTCAAAATGCAAACGTGACAGCAGCTGTTATTCTGTTTATCATGTTTTTTTCTCCAACACTCTCTCTACCTTTGTATGTATTTATGCATCTGCTGCTATGTACCTCTAGCTTGTCACCATCAACATGAAATTCATTATTTTAGCTTCTTATAACTGCAAGGAAACCATCCCGTGTCTTTATGACTAAAGATGGAATGCAACATGGAGATCAAGGAACTGCCCTTGGGAAGCAGTACTGTCCACCTTCCACATCTGACTCCGTCTGAAACTTGTGCTCACGTGATTTGCATAGAACACCTAAACTGCTGATCAGTCAAACTGAGCACCACAGGCCAACTTGCAGAAGCAAACAGCTTCTCTGAAGGGCACATCTGAGCTCGTGTTTGTGTGTGTTATCTGCGGTTCAAGCCGGGGGCAGGGGGAGAGAGAAAGGAAGACTTCCGTAAGGAAATACAAAAAGATACTTCATCTTTAATAGGTCATTGCACAAGATTTTAACAAAAGTTCACTGACTAATTTCACAGCTCACGAGGGAAGTTTTCTTTTTCTCATATGATGCATGGACATGCCAAGCCCCAGTAAGTCAGAGTGGCATTCACAAAACCAGCGACATTGACCCTGGAGCGGAATCCCAGCTCTCCTGAAGTCACCAGGAGCTTTGCTGCTAACTTCAAAAAGCAGTGATTTAAGAACAACTTTGCCTCAACATTGCAAGTTCATCATAAACTATTTACTTTCAGGAAAGCATCTGTATTAAAATAGCAAGTGAAGATACATTTATCATGAGTAAAGATACTTCTCTATAACACAAACACCACTTCCTATTGCATTTGACATGGAAAGGCTTTGTTTCATCCTATGTGTTCCCTGTGTGCATTTCTAAACTTAGGAAACTGACCAGACCATTGAATTTCAGCTTTGCTTGTGTTGATTTCAATGTTTCACTAGGAACGCTTGTTTTGAGTTGTGCAACACGCGTTTGAAGGTGTCCAGCCTCAC